ATTTAACCAGCCTACTGTTGCCACCTGTACTCCCCAGAAGGATTGCTGCAGTGAGTTGCATTACATCATATAGTGCTGCAAATTCTGAAATATTTGGAACTTGTCACAGTCAGAGATATGATACTAGACTGGATGGACCACTTGCCTGATCACAGAGAGCATGTCTAGACTTACTAGAAGATTGACACTCTGGAGGTTGATCTTCTGGCATTTGATTTAGTGGATCTAGTACAGACCCATAAATCAAATGCTGAGGGCAGCCTGCAACAGCATCCAGTACTCCTCCTTTTGCAAGAAGTAAGGGAATCTGACAGGAGCATTTGCTCCCATTGGCCCCCTACTGTGTGGCCGCCGCCAAGGCTCAGCTTAAAGTAAGTATTTTGCATAGTTGGAGTTGTGTACTTAAGCCAACCTGCCTGGTCTAGTATAGACCAGGCCTATGGCAATTCCTGTGTCCCAAGTGAAATTTTTAGTTAGGTGTGGCAGATTTGAATGTGGCCAGATTGAGCAACTCTATATTTCCTTAAAGCCAACTCAAGGCATGTCAATGGATTTCAGGTAAACACAGAAGTAGAGTTAAATGCACATGCGCAATTTTATAGATCATACACTTATTAATACTATTACCTACTATGTAAGGGTGTGTCTAGACTACAGAGTTTTGTCGACAAAAGTGGACTTTTGTCGACAAAACTATACCTGCGTCTACACTACCGCTGAGTTCTGTCGACACAACGTCGACAGAACTCAGCAGTTTTGTCGACGTTGGTAAACCTCATTTTACGAGGCATAACGCCTTTTGTCAACAGAGTTCTGTCGACAGAAGGTGTTATTGCATCTAGGGGTACGTCTAGACTACAGGCTTTTGTCGACAAAGCAGCTTGCTTTGTCGACAGAACTGAATGTAGTCTAGACGCTCTTTGTCGACAGAAGCTTTGTTGACAGTATCTGTTGACAAAACTTCTGTCGACAAAACCCTGTAGTCTAGACGTACCCTAAGTATCACAGCCATAAAACTTCCTCTTATAACTTAAGGCATAGTAAGGGTTTGATTGTGCCAGGAAAATTGGATGTGCCTGGGATGGGAGTGGTGTCTCATAAAACCATATAGAAAAAAGACAGAATTCCTAGGCAGGTGAAAGGAGCTCGTTAGGGTGTCCAGAACTGCCTCAGCCCCTAGTTTCCCACCCCCCAGGAGCCCTTTAGGGTGGATGGGAGTCTGACACTCTGTTCTCCTCCCCATTCATATGTGAACATTGCTGGCTGTTCCCCTTCATCAGAAAGCAAGGAGTAAGTGCACAGTTTGATCCACTCCTCACTCTAGCTGGGAAGCACAGGGGGCTGATGAACCTGGACCTGCCCCAGCCAGGAGACATGCACCCCTCCTCCAGCTGTCCCTGCTGAAGCTGCAATGACCATGGAGAGGCATTTCTCACCAGATCCCAAGTTGCTGTGGTAAGAAATGGCTGAGGTAGTCCTCTCTCCCAGAGCAGCATGCATACTGAACTCCTCATCTCAAGTCCTACCCCCAGATAAATTATTTAAATGAAGCATGTACGTTTTCATTTTATTTTCCAGAAAACAAAAATTAATTGAATTAAAGACCTGGGTAATGCTAAGTAAATATATTATGATATTAGGAGCATTTGCACACCATTTCTGTTTGTTTGTGCAATGCCTAGAGCATTTCAGATATGACATCAATATAAAAATATATAGTGTTTCATTCCCCTCAGAGAGTGGTACAAAAGAAAATATAAGGTGCTGAGGAATTTCTCATAGCCTGTATAATTAGTTTGGATAGCCTCAACTATGCAGGATTTCTAATGAGCAGAATGGTAAATCATAGCACAGGAAGTGATGCACACTATTAATATTCTGTTTAACAAAGTAGTATTTTCCTATACATCATTCCTTATTATACAGCCTAAAACAGGATGCCTTCAATAATCACATCATAAAAGGAGAAAAATTGGATGACACATGATTAAGCCTTTGAGGGATTAGCCAAAAGACTAAGTAAGGCTATTTTGTTTGTTGCATTCACTGCTTAGGAACGTTAAAGAAACTGCCAATGAGGTCTAGATAACTTTTTGTTACTCACAAAAGATATTTAGATAAATGGGAAATTGTTTTCTCATCTCTTTAATATTTTTGAATATTTGCAAACTTTTAATATCTCAAATTTGAAGGAAAAGTTAGGACTCAAATGGTTGTTGGAATTGAAAACTGCTGAATATGGAAAATTGTGTTTCCTCTTGGGCCACTAACTCACTGCAGAGCATTGGACATATATCTCTGGGCCACAATTTACCCAGCTGCAAATTAGCATTATAAATAATATCTCTCGGAAGTATACTGTAATTGAGAAAGGTTTGCTAGGCAGACCTCTTATACATATTCTCCAGATCATTTTCATAAGAAGGTAAGTATGTGGATTTTTCCTATTTCTATATTAACAGTTACTTACCTGTTCAAAAGCATCTGAATTTTCACAGAGTTTGAGAGGGTTGTATAACTATGGAAGGGGTTAATACTCTTCCCCTCATAAGAGGAAGACCCACAGTTGAATGATCCAAATACAGATATTTGTTAGGTCAACTTTAGAAAATTAATTTCCCTGGCATACTGCACTGTATATTGAGTGGAGTTTGGGAAAGAATGTAACCGTATAGACATAGGATCCCTTGAAAGATATCAGAGGGGTAGCCGTGTTAGTCTGAATCTGCAAAAGCGACGAGGAGTCCTGTGGCACCTTATAGACTAACTGAAGTGTAGGAGTATAAGCTTTCATGGGCAAAGACCCACTTTCAAGGCAAAGACCTTGAAAGATAGTTGAAGCTAACTGAAAGAAGAACACGTTTTTCTCTTGATCTCTGAAACTTGAATGGTCTGAGACTAATTTTAGTCAAACTATTCAGAGAACAGAAATTCCATTCACAACGGATTTTTGACATATTGACATTTGTTTTATTCTAGTTAGGAATTAACTAAAAAATCTCTGCAAAAGACAATTTAGGAAAAAATAATTTCCTAAATCAAAATATTTCATTGTTGCTTCTGACTTATTTTATTTCACATATTATTAATGCAAAATTTAAAATTGTAAATTAAAAGTTATTTCAAAAGGAAAAAAATCTTTTCAAACTTTTGACATTTTCACCTTTTTTCAGAAATGAAATTTTCAGATAAATCAATATGATTTCACAGAGCATTTCAGTTTTTATGGAACTGCATTCTCTGATCAAAAACCACTCCACTTAAGTTTTACTGAACTGCTATATTTCAGATGTTTGGTTTATACTTTATCTGAGGAAAGCCATGATAAAGGACTGGAGACATTCCTTACAAGTGCTTTTAAATTTTAGTACAACACACAAAAATGACTTTCCTAAACACAGAATTCTTTGCTGATCTGACAAGATCGATTACCCAAAGCATCCCAAATTAAAATCATATAATGAAGAACCATCATGAATTAGGCTTACTATTTGTGCAATAGCTTTAAATAGAGGTTATATAAAACTTCTCATTTTGACAAGACGATAAGGCTTACAAGAGTTTCATAATGAAGTTCAAATACATTGGTATGTACTGTTGTGTAAAAGATAATTTAGTTTCCATAGCAGCTGAAAAATGTGGATAGTTGTCAGGGGTCTTCAATTTCTGTTTTTTAATTGTTATGATTGCAAAGAATCTGAAGGAGGGGGAACATTTATATGTCAATATAAGGATAGCACATACCTCAGATGTTAAGGAGGCTTTAGACTGAAATGAGACTGAAATGTACTCTTCGGGTACATCTAGACTTGCTTTCACTTTCGAAAGAAGATATGTAAATTCAGCGGTAATTTGCATATCTTCCTAAGCTTTCTCGAAATAAATATTTTGAAAAAGCAAGCAGTTTAGATGCAATTCTTTCAGGAAAAAAAAACCCTTTTTCAAAAGAACCTGTGTCTAAACTGCTTGCTTTTTCGAAAAATCAGAAGAAGATATGCAAATTACTGCCAAATTTGCATATCTTCTTTTGAAAGCGAAAACAAGTCTAGACATTATCATGCACAATCATTATGCTTCATTATTATGCACAAATCGATAGCATGTCCTGATAGCTTTTAACTGATAACTTTTAATAGGTTGTTTTTTTAAATATTCTATTTACGTGGATGGAAGGGCAGCAGCAGTCCCTGTGATGGGAGATACAAAACTCACACTTGGGCCCAAAGGGGCTGAAAGGCAAAACAGGGTCCAGTTGGCCTTACCCTTCTGGGTCTTCTGGCATACTCCAACAGGCAGAGTGGGCTAAAAGCAACTCAGAATGTCAGGCAAGAGGTGGTGGACAGGCTGTAGAAAAGAAGAATCTTTCTGAGGGAAGTCAGACAGTGGGCTGAGCCTGAGACGCAATCACTGAGCAAGTAACGCTTCTAGGCAGTGCTTCCTCCAACCACCATTCACTCTTAGAAGTATCAGGTCTTTCAAGATCCTTTTCTTTTGGACTTGTTATGACATTATTGAGTGGACTATAGGGACCATGCCCCAAACCGAATGAGCACATAAATAAGAAGTAACATAGGGTATGTCTACACTACCACCCTAGTTCAAACTAGGGTGGTAATGTAGGCAACCGGAATTGCAAATGAAGCCCGGGATTTGAATTTCCCGGGCTTCATTTGCATCATGCCGGGCGCCGCCATTTTTAAATGTCCGCTAGTGCGGACTCCGTGCTGCGCGGCTACACGCGGCACGGACTAGGTAGTTTCGGACTAGGCTTCCTATTCCGAACTACCGTTACTCCTCGTCCGAACTACCTAGTCCATGCCGTGTGTAGCCGCGCGGCACGGAGTCTGCACTAGCAGACATTTAAAAATGGCGCCTGGCAAGATGCAAATGAAGCCCGGGAAATTCAAATCCCAGGCTTCATTTGCAACTCCGGTTGCCTACATTACCACCCTAGTTCGAACTAGGGTGGTAGTGTAGACATACCCTTAGAGTGGCAGAGAAGGAATGTGCCAGTGTTACATTCCACGGGACCCTATGCTGTGACTTGGTGGAGATGGAGGGAAGGGTTCCCCCTTACCATGCCCTACATAATGGCAAAAACACAGATGCTGGGAGAAGGCTCAAACACTATTATCCTCAAAAGAGTGTAGCGGGAAGGTTTGCTAACCACTAGACCACCTAGCCCTGTGAGTACTCCTACCATAGTTCCCTATAGGAAGTAAGGCCCCATTTTCTTTCAGCAGTCTCCATATTACACATCCTACATCAGCCTGACTACTGCCCTGGAGACCTCCTACGTCAGCCTGACACCTGCCCTCCTTCAGGGTTTCTACTGGGAAAGGGCAATTTATTTCCCCCAGAGATTCCACAAGTGGAGGCTGCTGAAGAGATGCATTCAATGAATGCATTGCCCAGCCCCTCTCCAGTCACTGTGTACCTGTAGGGCTGCACTGGTGAACTGCAGGACTCTTGGAAAAGCATGTAAAGTGATCTTTACTTATACTGCAGTAAAATTCTTTCCAAGTATAAGCTGGTGCAGACCGTGGGTATACTTGGCCTTCTTGTATCCTCTTGCTAGTTGCTTTTCCTTCAACAATCCCACCTTCTCAGCATGCAAGTTATACCCTGCACTGCCTTATGTTGACAAAGTAACATAAAACTTGCACCATTGTTTATGGAAATTCTGAATTTGTTCCTGCATCCTTGTGAATAATAGAAAACTGCTTTATCCTCTTATCCTGTCATCATAAGGGATAGCGGCGGAGGATGGGGGCTGGGGAGAGAAACAGACAGTGTTAAATTAATAGCTATGCATTGTCAGAAGGTAATATAGCAGTGTTACACATTTACTTGAGGATGTTAAAAAAAACAAAAACACAAACCATTCTTCACTGACAAGTATTTAATAAAGTTAATGTATTTGCTATACACCAAGCATCTACTTCCTAGGATAATAGCAAAATGTGACAACATTAAAAGAGCTGTAGGCAGTAAATGGAGGAAAGCTTAAATAATTTGTCAAAACCTCCTGTACCTCTGAGTATGTAATACTTATGTAATTAAGCACAGGTAAGGTGGGTATATTATTGTAGGTGTTGCTGGTAACACCACAATAATTAAGTTCACTTGCCAGATTCATTATAAGACCATATTTTCAATTGCTTTTAACTTTGCCTCCCTTTTTCCAAAACAATTCACTCTGAGACAGACAACTGACATGGAAAATTTCAGTCCAATTGGTTAAACTTCCACAAAAATGGTTTAGCTGGTTCTGAGACTTAAATGGGGGGTTGGGAGAATATATATTCTTGTTTAAAAAAATCCTGAAGTCTTGTAATTGAAAATCTTTATTGCTTCCCTATTTTGGAGCAGAAATTTGAACTTTGGCAATGGATTCATCCTGATTTCAGCAATGTACCTTTTGCTCTCTGGAGGGAGAGGGTTATAAGCAGGCCAGAGGAAGCCTGCACAAGCATTCAGCTAATCAGGGCCAGGCTAGGCCCTATAAAAGGCTGCAGAACTGAGAGATGTTCACTCTTGCCTTGACTAGCAAGGGTGAAGAACTAGCTCCCTGTAGAGAAGAAGCACTTTGAGTGGAGCAAAGCTGGGCAGGCTCAGGGTGGCTGGGGAGGAGTCCCAGCATGATACCTGCCAGGCTGTAACCTCGATACAATGGGAAAGAAGGTGCGAGGGTCACTACGAAGTGGCCCAGGAAATGGGAGTAGTCAAGAAGCAAGAAATAGGGCAGGACATAGCTGCCATCAGAGAGTTTCTGGATCGGGACCCAGCACTGGGCAGACCTGGGTTCTCCCCTCCCTTTTGCACCACACCTTGCCACCGTGAAGCATGGTCTACATAGAATATGGCTTGCCGCTGGGGTGAGGGCTAGAGTTTGGGGCTGAAGTTGGCCACAGTGGCAGGTGTATCAAGTGAGGACTGCTGATATCCCTAGAAGAAGGTGAGAGATTAGAGGGATGGGTGCTGCCAAAGGCAGTGTCCTGAAGAGGATACTGTAGTCAAAGGTGGGATGCAGGTCTGCAGAGAGTCAGTGGAGCAGTGTATTGATGGGCAAGACACTGGTCAGAAGGCAGTGCTCTCCAATGGACAGAGCTAATTCCTGGTGTGACCAACAGGGGGCACCATAGACCCCCTTATGCTGTCCCTATAAAAACGGCCTGAATTTGCCCCAATTTGTAAGCCTTTAAAAATCTAAGATTTACTTTGTACTGACAAGTTAGTGTTAAACGGCTAAAATTCCCATGGTTCTGTCTGAGAAAAGCGTGCCCCAGCCTGGAGCCACAGAGATGGAAAGGACACTGCCTGCAATGCCTTCCACCACCTACAGTGGCAGCCCATGCAAAAAACTGAGAGCAGGGACATTGTCTTTCCTGTGCCCTCTGTGCTCTCATTTCATGGTAGTGAAGTGAGAAGTGGCTTGACTAAAATGCAGAGTGGTGAGGAGCTGAGCCTGGTAATGGCCAGAATGGAGGAAGCTGTAGATAGGGACAAGGAGCTTAGGAACGGAGACTGGGGCTCCCTCACCAGCTCTAACTGGGTAAGAACAGTAGGATTGAGAGCCAGGAGAAGAAATAGGATGAGGAAGTTGGGGAGGGACAGACAAGATGCCAGCAGTGCAGAGACTGAGAGTGGCTGGGAAAAGAGGCTGGGAGGGGGGATGACTGGGACAGTGCTGAGGAGTGGCAGGACTGGTATTGCAACAGGCTACAGGCAAAAGAGGGAGGAAGAGGGTCAAAAGAGTCTATGCAAAGTAGAAAAATCCCCTCCAGAACTAAGAATGAAACCCAGGATTCCTAAGTCTCCCCATTCTCCTATTGTCAGCAAAAAGCAAACATTGTCAGCAATGCAAAAAATGTCTCATCACCATTAGTGGCAGGTTCTAATTGACAATGGCAACATACTCTATTAGCTCAACTGACAGAGGTCTGTGGTGGATATAAAGGTTTCAGCCCTGCTGATGAACCATCTGGTTGTCAGTATGGGTGGATGTGATGAAAATTGTATTTGTGTTTAGTTTGCTTTAAAAAAAATTGGGAATTTCATGTAAAGTTACAAATGCAAGCACTCAAAAGTTAATAAATGTTAGAATTAAGGTTGGTCACACATCTTCCCCCACTTCTACCACTGTTCACATGTGCTTGACCTGTTTATTTACCTGATCTCAGCCTTCAGCTGCCAACTTCTACCTTTATATTAAAAATGGAGTGAAATCTTGATCAATAGAATAGAAGAGGCAAGCAGAAGTAGCATAAGAAATACATTTAGTAGTACAAGCCTCCTGGAAACCAAAGGAATGGATTGGAGATTGAAAGAGCCAGAGCTGGGATTAAAACTAAGCATGTGGTAATATTAGTGTTAAATACATAGGTTGTATGATCATTCCAAATTAACTCTAAACTTCAATTTCAAGCTCTGTCTCACTACATAATAGATTTCTTTGAAAGGCTTTTATTTTTTATTTTCTTTTATATTTGTATATATTTTATATAAGAAATATATTCCCCTAAAGCAGTGTAACATTTGCAGAGTCCAACTGCAATAAACTTTGTGCCCTTCTATTGGAGTGAGAGAAATAGCTGATGACGCTATATAGCTGTAGGTACGGCTCCATTTCTACCCTGATCCACTACCGCGACACCCCACTGGTGGTGCTGGCAGTCACCACAGGGCAGCATGCTGGTGGGTAGGACATAAGAATTCACTTGTGGGCTCTCAATACTTTGCCCACCCCTTGTATCCTACAAACTTTTGTATTTTATTTTCTTTATTTGCTACATTAACACTCCTAGTCAAAACATCTCAAGTGCCTATTACCTCTTCCCATAGCTGTGACAATAAACAATAATTCACACTATCCTACACAGAAAACATTATTTACAGATCAAGTTATACAGGAGGCTTCTAGATTTCTAACACCTGCAAGCACTGAAATCAATGCAATGAATCATAAGCACAGCCACAATGCTGGATTAATGGGAAGCTATTGAAACCAATGTTGCTGGAGGAAAAGCCACAAATAAAATAAAGGTTTTCTGTTGAAGGGCTGAAAGTTCACATTTTCACAATACTATAGATGGAGAAAATATTAATCTGTAAAATATGTTAGTGAATAAAAATTTTCAGCACCAGTGGAAGGAAAACACCAAAGCCAGCTACCTTAAAATGCTGTCTTCCATCAAATCAAAAATAATAGGCCACAGAGTAAATAATTGCTTTCTTGGGAACTCAGTGCACTGTGTTCTTCCCTCATTCGCAAGACATGTTTTATAGTCTCACCAATTGAAAAACCGAATGACTGATTTTAATGGAATTCATTTTAATTTCAATAAAATCCCCACAATTATCTCAAGGTAACATCCATCGCTCACTCCATGCACAAGTGGAGGCTGGGTATATCTCCAAGGCAATTCATTTATAATAAAAATGTGCCATCTGGCTAATCTGCAGTGTAATTCTGTGACAGCAGCTTCAGAGAAAAGACCCAAAATAGTTAGAGCTACCAGGGAGGAAGTTATGGGAGAAGGATGTGTGAGGGGTAAAATAAAGCAAATGCAAAAGGCCTAGTTAGCTCCTGTTGAAATGTCCCCTTCCCCCCCTCCCCCCCCAATTAAACAAATAAAATAAATGATCTGACTGAAGATCAAAAGCAGTGGTATTGGATTATATATTATGCTATTATGACGTGAGGGTAGGGGACTGCACTCGATGACCTCTCGAGGTCCCTTCCAGTCCTAGTATTCTATGATTCTATGATATTATTCTTTCAGAGCACACTCTGCAATAGCAGTTTTCATAATAATCTTGATGAATCTTTTTAACAAATCCAAAGGTGGTGGTTGTCATTTAGGAAATTGTGATAATCAATCCATGTACACCCCATATTTGTCAATAATTCTTGTTCAGACCTGATGCCAAATATTTCACTTCACTGTATACAGCTAAATACACATAATGGAAATAGACAGGCACTAGACAATGGCAATTTGTAAAGAAGGCTACAGAATTTTACCTTCTGTGTTTATCAAAGACTTAATGAAAACATGAATAAAATGTATACAAATCACTAAGCATATCCATTTTCTGGAGTGCAGTGGAAATCTT